GCATATATATATTTTTTTTTTAAAAATAAGTTTTCAACTATTTTTACTGTAAGAACATCACTATTTTTTTAGATGACTCCCAAGTAAAAAATTACTGTTATTTATTTAACAGGAAAATTTAATATTACATAGCAAAATGTAATACCTTTAATAAAAGGTAAAATTTAAGAACTTCCAAGAATTCTTAAATTTTAAATGTTTTTCATCAAATGCCTTCATTCCAACCTAGTTCACACTGAAGCGTATAGCTGTTGCTGTTGTTAGGTGCTCTTGAGTCGAGTATGTCTCATAGTGACCCTATGAACAGAAGATCTGAACCCTATTCAATCCTGTGCCATCCTCACACTTCCTAACACACAAGAGCCCACTGCAGTAGTCATCATGTCAATTTACCTGGTTAAGGGTCTTCCTCTTCTTTGCTGACCCTTCCCAGCACCATGTCCTTTTCCAAGGAATAGTACCTGCTAGCAATATGCCCAAAGTATGTGAGGCAAAGCCTCATCATTCTTGCCCTCCAAAGAGTACTTGGGCTGCACCCTCTCCAAGACACATCTATTTGTTCTCTTGGCCGTCCATGGTTCAGTGCCCTTCTCCAACACCATAGGTCAAAGGCATCAATTCTTTTCCTGTCATCCTTATTTACGGTCCAGCTCTTAGATGCATAGCAAGTGATCAGATGTACCGTACTCCTCAAACTGACATCATTATTCCTCAATAATTTAGAGAGGTCTGTAACTGCAGATTTTCCCAGTGCAATGCATCTCCTTATTTACTAACTCCTGGTACCAAGGGTGAATTGTGGATCCAAGTAAGATGAAGTTGTTGACAGTTTCAATCTCTCTATCCAACATGACAGTGCCTATTGGTCCAGTTGTCAGAGTCTTTGTTTTCTTGCCATTGAGATGCAAGCCATACTTAAGGCTGTATTCCTTGATCTTCTGCAACAAGTGCTTCAAGTTCTCCTCACTTTCAGCAGGCAAAGTTGTGTTATCTGCAGGATATTGATGAGTCTCCTTCCAATCCTGATGCCATAACTCCTCCTCATAGGGTCCAGCTTCTTGGATAATGTGCTGTGCACAGCACAGTAGGTTTACTATTTAATCACTTCATTAGTATTTAGTGATGTATCTATGACACATTACTAAAGTATAAAAGAGAATTGAAAGTTTTTAAAAAAGGGAGAGGGCAGTCCCATTACCTGAGCTCCAGTTCCGTCTCTAGGCTTTTAATCTGCTTTGTAACGGAATCATCGGATTCAGAAACTTTACTATGCAGTTCAGCAAGTGAGAAAGTGCGCCTCTGTAAAGAAAAATAGTGGTAATAATGATAAATTAATACCAGGAAAGATATCCTCCAAAGTAGCAAGAATTTCTGAGAGTGTGACGTTTGATTATTGGTAACATTCTTCAATAAGGCCACCAACCCGGAGTTTAGGAGGTAGATTTTCCTCAGATTCCCTTTTCTGTTTGAGTTGAGCTATATCTTGAGCCAGGATCTTCCTATCTTCAAGAAGGTCATGTAGATGCCGTTTGGCCTCCTCAGTACTGACCATTACCTCAATTTCATTTCCAAGCCAATTCTGGAAGAGAAATAAGTGATGTCTGGGTTAGGGATAATATATCTCTGGCTTATAGTTTTAAACTTAATTGGAGAATGTATAACTTTAAATAAGTATGATTTCCATTTGTCTAAAAATTACAGTACCTCTCTAAGAACTTTTAACAATATCCTTAAAGCTTGTGAGTGAGAGAGTCTCAAAAAAAATCTTTCTGTAGAAATCTTAACATCTCTACATGCCCCGTCTGTAACTTCTTTATTTGTTAACATTTGTCCACTGCCATTAATTAGGCATCATATAGGCTAGAAATATATTTTCTATTGTCTGTTCTACTTAATAATAGGTGTTCATTCTTAATTTTTACAATAGATAAATGAAACTTATTTATAGGTGAACAAAAGGACTAATTTAAGTTTTTGAAAGATTAACTATCACTGAGAATATGTCCACTCCCCCCTCCTTTTTTAAATTGAGATTTTAATGAAAGTTTATAAAGAACGTGGGTTCTTTATAAATCGTTCATTGTTGCACATTACCCCCCCCCACCCCAGATCGCTTTTTTCTATGGTAAAAAGTTCTTTCATTGCTATACAGACCCCCACACCCACCCCAGATCACTTTACTATGCAGCTCTTATTCTGGGCTCTTGTCATGCCAATAATACCTAATCAGATATTCCTTTTATATAGTTCTCTCCCTCTCTGTTTCAATGCCATGCAAATTATTTAGCTCCTCTTTTCTTAAGTTTCTCCGCAGCCCCCATGCCAGTCCTGTTTTATAACAATGGCATTATACAGTATTTTTTTTGTGACTGAGATATTTCACTCAGTATAATGTCCTCCATGGTTAGCCATTTTGTATAATAATTCATGAGTTCCTTGTTTTTCAATGTAGCATAGTATTCCATTGTGTGACTATGCCACAGTTTCTCTATCCATTCGTTTGTTGATGGAATATGTCCATTTTTAAGGCAGATATACCATGTTAACGGCAATAAGAGGAAAGCCGAAGTAGCTATATTATTATTAAAGTAGAATTCATATCTAGAGAATATAATGGCTTACTTCATAATGATAAAGGAATTAATCAAGGAAATATAATCCTCAATGTGTATATGCCTAAAAACAAAGTACCAAAATATACGAAGTAAAAATGCATAAAATTACAAGGAGAAATGAAAAAAATATTATCAATCTGCTCAGAGATTTCATGCCCCCATTTCTAAAAAGACAAAAATCATAAAAAGTTATAGCTAACAAGCTAACTAAGGTGATAATACAGAATCATAAAAACACTCCAAAAGACAGTATAAAGAGCATTCCGGCACGGAGCAGAAAGGCGGTGTGTACGGCTAGCGGGTCATGTGTGGAGCGGGGGTGCAGCTCGGTTTTCCCGACACCCCTCCCCCTCAGGCGTGAGCTCCACCCCTCTGCCGGCCAGGCCGACACCCTCCGAACCAACCCCTGCGATGTGAGCCTGGGGTGGCTCTGGGCGCCCCCAGTAGACCCCCACCCAGCATGGGCAGCCAGAGCTCTAAGGCTCCCCGGGGCGACGTGAACGCCGAAGAGGCAGCAGGCTCTTCCCCCGCCAAGGCCAAGGGACAGGAGAACGGCCACGTGAAAAGCAATGGAGACTTGTCCACCAAGGGGGAAGGGGAATCGCCTCCTGTGAACGGAACAGATGAGGCAGCTGGGGCCACCGGCGATGCCATTGAGCCAGCACCCCCCACCCAGGGTGCTGAGGCCAAGGGGGAGGCCCCCTCCAAAGAGACCCCCAAGAAGAAGAAGAAATTCTCTTTCAAGAAGCCTTTCAAATTGAGCGGCCTGTCCTTCAAGAGAAATCGGAAGGAGGGTGGGGGCGATTCCTCTGCCTCCTCACCCACAGAGGAAGAGCAGGAGCAGGGGGAGATCGGTGCCTGCAGCGAGGAGGGCACTGCCCAGGAAGGGAAGGCTGTCGCCACCCCGGAGAGCCAGGAGCCCCAAGTCAAGGGGGCAGAGGCTGGTGCTGCCTCCAAGGGAGGAGACACGGAAGAAGAGGCAGGGCCCCAGGCTGCAGAGCCGTCCACTCCCTCGGGGCCAGAGAGTGGCCCTACACCAGCCATGGAGCAGAATGAGTAGCTGGGTGGGGGCAGGTGGGTGATCTCGAAGCTGCAAAAACTGTGCCGTCCTTGTTGAGGTCACTGCCTGGACCTGGTGCCCTGGCTGCCTTCCTGTGCCCAGAAAGGAAGGGGCTGTTGCCCCTTTCCAGCCATGTCCCCTCTCCCTCCTGTGGCTTTTCCCATCATCCCTCTGGTCTTCCTCTTGAGGCCAGTTGAAGATGGTTCCTTACAGTTTCCCAAGTTAGGTTAGTGATGTGAAATGCTCCTGCTCCGACTTCTTTCCCTTTCCTCACCCCTGCTGAAAGCAATTGCTGGTTTTTGTCCCCAGTTTTGTTTACCCTGCTCCCCAAATCCCTGAGCCAGAAGTGGGGTGCCTACACTCCTACACCCTGAGTATTCAGCCTTCCCCCTGTTGAGTTTTTAGTCTCTTGTGCTGTGCCTAGTGGCCCCTGGGCTGAGAAAACACTGTCTCTGTTCAGGTTTTTATAAATGTCTTACTCAAGTTCAAACCTCCAGTTTGTGAATCAACTGTGTCTCTTTTTTTTACTTGGAAAGGAAGTATTAGGCTTTGGGGGTGGGGGAGGGAGGCCTGTAATGTGAAACAACTTTTTGTCTTCCCCCTCTTGTTGTAAATAACTTTTAATGGCCAAACCCCAGATTTGTATTTTTTTTTCTAACAGCTAAAACCATTCTCTTCCATCTGGTTTTACTGTAACATTTGGAAAAGGAATAAATGTTGTCCCTTTAAAAAAAAAGACAGTATAAAATGAAAAAAAGAACAGGTAAGACAAATTGAAAACAAATAGTAAAATGACAGGCTCAAAACGACACATAGCACTCAGGAGCAATGATTCCGAAAAATACTACATAACTTGGGAGAGACTGGAGAACATTATGCTGAGTGAACTTCTTCAGTCACATAAGCACAAATACTGAGTAAGACCATTACTGTACTAATAGAATGATAACTATTAAAACATGTATGGGGACTCAAGGGGGAAAGGGGTGATGAGCAGAGTGGTGAGGATAGGTAGGGGGAAAAAATCACAGGGTTGAACTATTTGGTGAATGGAAGGAGGGGGTAAAGGAAATGGGAAAGAGCCTGAGGGGTAATGATGGGCATAGTCAAATGGTGATTAATTTTATAAAACATAATGCAAGGGAATGATAGCATGAAACAAAGTGAATGAATAATAGTGTGAAACATAATGTATACAAACTTTGTAAACAAATACAAAATAAAAAAAGAAAACAACAACTAACAAATCTACTCAAATCAATAGATCACTAAATGTAAATGGCATAAACATACAAATAAACATAGAAATAGACTGGATAACAAACAAGACCTAACTATATGATGTCTATATAAAATATACTTTAAATATGATGGTACAAATAAATTAAAACTAAAAGCATAAAAAATATTAAATCACATGATAATTATTTAACAGAACAGGGGCAATGGTGGCTGGGATGGTTACTATTGGGTGTCAACATGGCTATGATCCTAACTATAATTATTTTGTTATATATTTTAACTTTTCTGATCTTAATAAGGCATGATTATAAGTGGATCGATCTGTAAAGATATGATTAACCTTATCTGATTAAAGGTAGGTCTCCTGAGCAGTGAAGCCCTCCAGGGCATCTAAATTTGGAGTCTCTGGGGGCTTACTGATAAGGAGCTGTACTGCTAACCCAAAGGTTTGACTCTATAAGCCCCTTGGTGGGAGAAAGATGGGCAAACTCCTCCTTTGTAATTAAGTGTCTCAGAAAACCTGCTGGATTTCAGATACAGTTGGTTCCAACTTGATGGTACATAACAACAATTGTCAAGTTAGAGAGCTTTTTGTCAGATCTATATCAGGCTATCTGGCTTCTAATTTCAATACTTGAACCAGTGGCCTGCCATACTTGCTAACTTTGAACGTACTAGTTTCCAAAGCTAGCCATTTGCAACTGAACCATTAAGTCAAAGAAGAAATCCCAAGGGAAAGCAGAAAATATTTAGAGACAAATAAAAAGAATACCCTACAAAGCAGCTCAACTCTGCCATTCATAACACCAATGAGGTGACCTTCATTCCGTAGCCTAGATTTTGTTATTTGACTCAACTCCATTTTGACATTCATCCATTGTGTCATACATTATAACTTTTGGAGGGTTTTCTCCTTTGTTTTGTTATTTTTATTGCAGAGTACTGACCCACTAAATGAATATTTCATTGTTGTTTAATCCACCTTTTGATAGGCATTTGTTTCTAATTTGGGATTATTTCAATAAAGCTATGATTAAATGTAAAAAGAAAAGAATACTAAAATTATTATGAGAGGAAGTGGAGACAGTGCTGAGATGGAAACTTCTCTCTGTAAATGATTACTTTTTTTTAAAAAAAAGAGACAGACCCCTCCCCCCAGCTCAGATGACAGGGACCACCCTGCTACGTTGCCACCAGCTATCCCACCAAGGCTCAGCTGAGCCCGACTCCTGTAGAATTCCCTTGCTGAGACTCTGATCTTCTGCCTCAACAAAACCACAGAACAGCAGGTCACCACAACGTGGGAGAGGGAGGGATCCCATCTCCCTGTCTCAGGGGCAACCAGAGGAGATTTGTGCTGGAATGAGGAAATAAATTGCCTCTGCTGAGATCTTGGACTTTTGTTTTAACTGACCCATTAAAGAGTGGGTCTGCAACTGCTAGGAAAAAACTGACAGCCCCTCCTAGCAACATGTATGTGAGGCAAAGCCTCATCATTCTTGCCTCCAAAGAGCAGTCTGGCTGCACCTTCACCAAGACATAGCTACTTGTTCTATTGGCTTTCTATGAGAGGTTCAGTGCCCTTTTTCAACACCACAGCTCAAAGTTATCAATCAATTCTTTTTCTGTCATCGTTATTCACTCACTGCTGGTGGGAGTGTA